AAAACTTATAGAATAATTTGTTGCGAGACTGCAGTTCAATTAGCATAATATCTTCCTCCCCGGCCAAATGGGCCTTCATTAACTGCTAGCATTGTGGCTCTGATTATAGCAATATCCACAATTGAAGTCACATTATGTGGCTAGCAGGGCTACCATTCTTAGTTGGCCAATTATAATTCATAACTGAAAATATTCTCATAAGCTGCAGCCTCATAACAATACCAATGTTAATTGTCCATTTAGGAACCCACTGAGCATACTTCACTATTATCATCGTCCGTCAATATTCAGCCATGGTTGTTATTGACCTGCAAGCATAGTAAAGTGAAAATCTATGGTGATGATGCAATGAAGAGATCAGGCGTTACTACTATTCAAATCAAATCACATTTTATTGGTCACATATACAGTGGGGAAAAAAAGTATTTAGTCAGCCACCAATTGTGCAAGTTCTCCCACTTAAAAAGATGAGAGAGGCCTGTAATTTTCATCATAGGTACACGTCAACTATGACAGACAAATTGAGAAAAAAAAATCCAGAAAATCGCATTGTAGGAATTTTAATGAATTTATTTGCAAATTATGGTGGAAAATAAGTATTTGGTCACCTACAAACAAGCAAGATTTCTGGCTCTCACAGACCTGTAACTTCTTCTTTAAGAGGCTCCTCTGTCCTCCACTCTTTACCTGTATTAATGGCACCTGTTTGAACTTGTTATCAGTATAAAAGACACCTGTCCACAACCTCAAACAGTCACACTCCAAACTCCACTATGGCCAAGACCAAAGAGCTGTCAAAGGACACCAGAAACAAAATTGTAGACCTGCACCAGGCTGGGAAGACTGAATCTGCAATAGGTAAGCAGCTTGGTTTGAAGAAATCAACTGTGGGAGCAATTATTAGGAAATGGAAGACATACAAGACCACTGATATTCTCCCTCGATCTGGGGCTCCACGCAAGATCTCACCCCGTGGGGTCAAAATGATCACAAGAACGGTGAGCAAAAATCCCAGAACCACACGGGGGGACCTAGTGAATGACCTGCAGAGAGCTGGGACCAAAGTAACAAAGCCTACCATCAGTAACACACTACGCCGCCAGGGACTCAAATCCTGCAGTGCCAGACGTGTCCCCCTGCTTAAGCCAGTACATGTCCAGGCCGGTCTGAAGTTTGCTAGAGTGCATTTGGATGATCCAGAAGAGGATTGGGAGAATGTCATTTGGTCAGATGAAACCAAAATAGAACTTTTTGGTAAAAACTCAACTAGTCGTGTTTGGAGGACAAATAATGCTGAGTTGCATCCAAAGAACACCATACCTACTGTGAAGCATGGGGGTGGAAACATCATGCTTTGGGGCTGTTTTTCTGCAAAGGGACCAGGACGACTGATCCGTGTAAAGGAAAGAATGAATAGGGCCATGTATCGTGAGATTTTGAGTGAAAACCTCCTTCCATCAGCAAGGGCATGGAAGATGAAACGTGGCTGGGTCTTTCAGCATGACAATGATCCCAAACACACCGTCCGGGCAACGAAGGAGTGGCTTCGTAAGAAGCATTTCAAGGTCCTGGAGTGGCCTAGCCAGTCTCCAGATCTCAACCCCATAGAAAATCTTTGGAGGGAGTTGAAAGTCTGTGTTGCCCAGCGACAGCCCCAAAACATCACTGCTCTAGTGGAGATCTGCATGGAGGAATGGGCCAAAATACCAGCAACAGTGTGTGAAAACCTTGTGAAGACTTACAGAAAACGTTTGACCTGTGTCATTGCTAACAAAGGGTATATAACAAAGTATTGAGAAACTTTTGTTATTGACCATATACTTATTTTCCACCATAATTTGCAAATACATTCATTAAAAATCCTACAATGTGATTTTCTGGATTTCTTTTCCTCATTTTGTCTGTCATGGTTGACGTGTACCTATGATGAAAATTACAGGCCTCTCTCATCTTTTTAAGTGGGAGAACTTGCACAATTGGTGGCTGACTAAATACTTTTTTTCCCCACTGTACATATTCAACAGATGTTATTGCGGGTGTAGTGAAATGCACTGTAGTAGCCTACACACTCTTGGTTTGCAGGACACCATCAGATTCTATCTGAGTGCATGTCCCTAATAGACCCTTGATGTTGATCCAAATCTGTTAGTGAATTAGCTAAGACTAGTGTCAGGTCAGCTGGTAATGTAGAAGCATACATACAAACAATGCCACCATGGCAGCTGCTGACATTACGTAATGCAGTGTCGTGTGTTCTGACACACACACACACACACACACACACACACACACACACACACACACACACACACACACAGCCACTTCAGGACCACGTTGTGTACCATACCATCTGCATGTTCCCAGATAGCTGGAGGCAGATGAAGATACTCATATCTCTCTCTCTCTCTCTCTCTCTCTCTCTCTCTCTCTCTCTCTCTCTCTCTCTCTCTCTCTCTCTCTCTCTCTCTCTCTCTCTCTCTGTCTTTCTCACTCTCTCTCTCTCTCTCTTTATCTCTTTTACTGAGGCAGATGAAGAGAAACTAATATAAATTCAATTCAATTCAATTTCAGTTAAGAGGCTTTATTGGCATGGGAAACATATGTTTACATTGCCAAAGCAAGTGAAATCGATAATAAACAAAAGTGAAATAAACAATAAAAAATTAACAGTAAACATTACACTCACAAAAGTTCCAAAAGAATAAAGACATTTCAAATGTCATATTATGTCTATATGCAGTGTTGTAATGATGTGCAAATAGTTAAAGTACAAAAGGGAAAATAAATAAACATAAATATGGGTTGTATTTACAATGGTGATATTCCTTCACTGGATGCCCTTTTCTTGTGGCAACAGCTCACACATCTTGCTGCTGTGATTGCACACTGTGGTATTTCACCCAATAGATATGAGAGATTATCAAAATTGGATTAGTTTTCGAATTCTTTGTGGGTCTGTGTAATCTGAGGGAAATATCTGTCTCTAATATGGTCATACATTTGGCAGGAGGTTAGGAAGTGCAGCTCAGTTTCCACCTCATTTTGTGGGCAGTGTGCACATAGCCTGTCTTCTCTTGAGAGCCAGGTCTACCTGCGGCTGCCTTTCTCAATAGCCAGGCTATGCTCACTGAGTCTGTACATAGTCAAAGATTTCCTTAATTTTGGGTCAGTCACAGTGGTCAGGTATTCTGCCACGGTGTACTCTCTGTTTAGGGCCAAATAGCATTCTACAGTAGTTTGCTCAGTTTTTTTGTTAATTCTTTCCAATGTGTCAAGTAATTCTCTTTTTGTTTTCTCATGATTTGGTTGGGTCTAATTGTGTTGCTGTCCTGGGGCTCTGTGGGGTCTGTTTGTGTTTGTGAACAGAGCCCCAGGACCAGCTTGCTTAGGGGGCTCTTCTCCAGGTTCATTTCTCTGTAGGTGATGGCTTTGTTATGGAAGGTTTGGGAATCGCTTCCTTTTAGGTGGTTGTAGAATTTAACGGCTCTTTTCTGGATTTAGATAATTAGCGGGTATCGGCCTAATTCTGCTCTGCATTATTTTGTGTTTTACGTTGTACACAGAGGATATTTTTGCAGAATTCTGCATGCAGAGTCTCAATTTGGTGTTTGTCCCATTTTGTGAATTATTGGTTGGTGAGTGGACCCCAGACCTCACAACCATAAAGGGCAATGGGTTCTACAACTGATTCAAGTATTGTTAGCCAGAGCCTAATTGGTATGTCAAATTTTATGTTCGTTTTGATGGCATAGAAGAACCTTCTTGCCTTGTCTCTCAGATCGTTCACAGCTTTGTGGAAGTTACCTGTGGCGCTGATGTTTAGGCCGAGGTATGTATAGTTTTTTGTGTGCTCTAGGGCAACTGGACCTTTTTTGGAACACCATTATTTTTGTCTTACTGAGATTTACTGTCAGGGCCCAGGTCTGCCAGAATCTGTGCAGAAGATCTAGGTGCTGCCATAGGACCTCCTTGGTTGGGGACAGAAGCACCAGATCATCAGCAAACAGTAGACATTTGACTTCAGATTCTAGTAGGGTGAGGAAGGGTGCTGCAGACTGTTCTAGTACCCTCGCCAATTCATTGATATATATGTTGAAGAGGGTGGGGCTTAAGCTGCATCCCTGTCTCACCCCCGGCCCTGTGGAAAGAAATGTGTGTGTTTTTTGCCAATTTTAACCGCACACTTGTTGTTTGAGTACATTATTTTATAATGTCGTAAGTCTTTCCCCCAACACCACTTTCCATCAATTTGTACAGCAGGCCCTCATGCCAAATTGAGTCTAAAGCTTTTTTGAAATCAACAAAGCATGAGAAGACTTTGCCTTTGTTTTGGTTTGTTTGTTTGTCAATTAGGGTGTGCAGGGTGAATACGTGGTCTGTCATACGGTAATTTGGTAAAAATACAATTTGACATTTGCTCAGTACATTTTTTTCGCTGAGGAAATATACGAGTCTGCTGTTAATGATAATGCAGAGGATTTTCCCTAGGTTGCTGTTGACGCATATCCAACGGTAGTTATTGGGGTCAAATTTGTCTCCACTTTTGTGGATTGGGGTGATCAGTCCTTGTTTCCAAATATTGGGGAATATGCCAGAGCTGAGGATGATGTTAAAGAGTTTAAGTATAGCCAATTGGAATTTGTGGTCTGTATATTTTATCATTTCATTTAGGATACCATCAATCCCAAAGGCCTTTTTGGGTTGGAGGGTTTGTATGTTGTACTGTAGTTCATTCAATGTAATTGGAGAATCCAGTGGGTTCTGGTAGTCTTTAATAGTTGATTCTAAGATTTGAGAGGGAGTCTACAACGCACACAGGCTCTTAAGTGGACTACTCTCAGAAAGAGCTATTAGCATCACATCCCAGACAAAGACTGCCAGGTGGAACAGAAAGTGTGTCCTGAAAAGCAGCAGAGACTTTAAGTCAACAGTCGTTTACTGGAACTGCAGTGACAGTTTGTTCATTTTCACCTTGAATTTGTCTCACAGTCCCACTTTCTATGAGGTAATGAATTAGATTAATCAATTTGACATGATCAGCACTCCTACTCTGAGAAGCTTAATGAATATGGGCCCAGGTGTTTCCATAAGCATGGTTATTTTCTCACTTCTCTCTCCTTCTGTGTGTTACAGAGATTTTCTTCCCCGTGGCTCTGGCATCGTAACCCGCCGTCCCTTGGTCCTCCAGCTGATCAACTGTCCCACAGGTAAACTCTTCCCCCTTCCCCTCCCTGTCCCACAGGTAAAGCCTTCCCCATCCCTCCCTTACACCAGCCTCCTCTTCAGAGCAGTGGTGGAGTGCTATTTGTTTAGGTGAGGGATCGCAATTGGTTTTTGTTAATGACATCATAATTTCCTCTGTCAAAGTTTGTACCGTAAGATGTAGCCAAATTAATAGCCTATCATTATGGAATATGCATAAAATGCATCCTCCAATTGCATCGTCTGCCATCACCACTCTCAAATGTGAATGATAATTATTCACATTTTACCGGTGAAATGTCCAAACTGCATCTCTATGCCAATCATTTGATTGATCTCAATCAGGTTCATGGGAATATGCATTTAGATCTTCTTGAATTACTATTTCGTGAGTGAATTAGAGCAGATGTTGTTAACAAATTATTAGTCTTACTTGTATTTTGTTTCAATCAAAGCATATATCCTGGCTAGTGGCATGCCTTGTTGAGTTTTGACGCATGATCATTTTAAAATTATTATTCAGTTTCAACTAACCATCCTAAAATCTCATTAGAAATTAGGTGTTTTTGGTGTAACAGTAAAGTTATAGGCCTACTATGTTATGGTATTATATTTGGTTCTGTTATGTAAAATGCAAATTAATCATTATGTGAACTTGCGAGACATTGATTTATAAACAAGCACCATTGTGAGAAGTGATAATCTTCTATTTTTTAGTAGTAATAATAATAATAATAAGTGATGAGTATGACTATTAGGCATAGGCAGCAGATCTTGATGAGATGTCATTTTAAGCATTTGTAGCGCCCTTCGTGGTGCTGAAAGGACAGCGCCAGGATCGCGCAATGATATTAAAGAGGTTGAACCAATTTGTGGTGCTGAAGGAAAAGTGAAGGATAGCTCTGTACATTCGTTTTAAAACAGCCATATGCTCAAGCTTTTGGTGTGGTGTATTCATGCAGCTCAATAAACTATAACCTAAATGCATTATTACCTCCAACTTGGCCCAATTCACATTTCCAATTGCCCACCCTGGCATACCAAGCTAGAACGGGCCCAGCGTCTCAACCAATAGCGAATGTAGGCTAAATATTCCAAGCAGGGCTACAGCATCTTCCAGAGAGGGTCAGGCTCCTTGGGCTTTGCGGTGGCCACTCTGGTTTCGGTGTCTTCGGGAGAACGGTGTCACTGTAACCAAGTGGTCACATATATTCTGGGTTCCACTGTGCTAGAGTAGAGAGGGGGTCCGTGGAGTTTATGAACATCAATGCAGACACACGGTCAAGCCTCAGACGAGCCTCAACATAGTTCTTCATCATTCTCGCCACCGCCAGACAGAAGACAGGGAAGAAACCACCATTTACTTACAGTGCCTTCAGAAAGTATTCACACCCCTTGACTTTTGCCACATTTTGTTGTGCTACAGCCTGAATTTAAAATGGATTAAATTGAGATTTGGTGTCATTGGCCTACACACAATAACCCATAATGTCAAAGTGGAATTAAGTTTTTAGAAATGTTTACAAATGTATTTAAAAAAATGAAAAGCTGAAATGTCTTGAGTCAATAAGTATTCAACCCTTTTGTTATGGCAACCCTAAATAAGTTCAGGAGTAAAAATGTGCTTAACAAGTTACATGGACTCACTCTGTGTGCAATAATAGTGTTTAACATGATTTTTGAATGACTACCTCATCTCTGTACCCCACACACACAATTATCTGTAAGGTCCCTTAGTCGAGCAGTGAATTTCAAACACAGATTCAACCACAAAGACCAGGGAGGTTTTCCAATGCCACGCAAAGAAGGGCACCTATTGGTAGATGGGTCAAAATAAAAAAAACGGAGATTAAATATCTCTTTGCGCATGGTAAAGTTATTAATTACACTTTGGATGGTGTATCAATACACCCAGTCACTACAAAGATACAGGCATCCTTCCTAACTCAGTTGCCGTAGAGGAAGGAAACCACTCAGGGATTTCACCACGAGGCCAATGGTGACTTTAAAACAGTTACAGAGTTGAATGGCTGTGATAGGAGAAAACTGAGGATGGATCAACAACATTGTAGTTACTCCACAATACTAACCTAAATGAAAAGAAGGAAGCCTGTACAGAATACAAATATTCCAAAACATACATCCTGTTTGCAATAAGGCACTAAAGTAAAACTGGCAAATATGTGGCAAAGAAATGATATTTCTGTCCTAATACAAAGTGTTATGTTTGGCGAAAATCCAATACAACACATCAGTGAGTACCACTCTTTATATTTTGGTGGTGGCTGCATCAAGGGCCCCGTGTAGCTCAGTTGGTAGAGCATGGCGCTTGCAACACCAGGGTTGTGTGTTCGATTCCCACGGGGGGCCAGTATAAAATTTATATATATATATATATATATATATATATATATATATATATATATATATATATACAGTGGGGAAAAAAAGTATTTAGTCAGCCACCAATTGTGCAAGTTCTCCCACTTAAAAAGATGAGAGAGGCCTGTAATTTTCATCATAGGTACACTTCAACTATGACAGACAAAATGAGAAAAAAAAATCCAGAAAATCACATTGTAGGATTTTTTATGAATTTATTTGCAAATGATGGTGGAAAATAAGTATTTGGTCACCTACAAACAAGCAAGATTTCTGGCTCTCACAGACCTGTAACTTCTTCTTTAAGAGGCTCCTCTGTCCTCCACTCGTTACCTGTATTAATGGCACCTGTTTGAACTTGTTATCAGTATAAAAGACACCTGTCCACAACCTCAAACAGTCACACTCCAAACTCCACTATGGCCAAGACCAAAGAGCTGTCAAAGGACACCAGAAACAAAATTGTAGACCTGCACCAGGCTGGGAAGACTGAATCTTCAATAGGTAAGCAGCTTGGTTTGAAGAAATCAACTGTGGGAGCAATTATTAGGAAATGGAAGACATACAAGACCACTGATAATCTCCCTCGATCTGGGGCTCCACGCAAGATCTCACCCCGTGGGGTCAAAATGATCACAAGAACGGTGAGCAAAAATCCCAGAACCACACGGGGGGACCTAGTGAATGACCTGCAGAGAGCTGGGACCAAAGTAACAAAGCCTACCATCAGTAACACACTACGCCGCCAGGGACTCAAATCCTGCAGTGCAAGACGTGTCCCCCTGCTTAAGCCAGTACATGTCCAGGCCCGTCTGAAGTTTGCTAGAGTGCATTTGGATGATCCAGAAGAGGATTGGGAGAATGTCATATGGTCAGATGAAACCAAAATAGAACTTTTTGGTAAAAACTCAACTCGTCGTGTTTGGAGGACAAAGAATGCTGAGTTGCATCCAAAGAACACCATACCTACTGTGAAGCATGGGGGTGGAAACATCATGCTTTGGGGCTGTTTTTCTGCAAAGGGACCAGGACGACTGATCCGTGTAAAGGAAATAATGAATGGGGCCATGTATCGTGAGATTTTGAGTGAAAACCTCCTTCCATCAGCAAGGGCATTGAAGATGAAACGTGGCTGGGTCTTTCAGCATGACAATGATCCCAAACACACCGCCCGGGCAACGAAGGAGTGGCTTCGTAAGAAGCATTTCAAGGTCCTGGAGTGGCCTAGCCAGTCTCCAGATCTCAACCCAATAGAAAATCTTTGGAGGGAGTTGAAAGTCTGTGTTGCCCAGCGACAGCCCCAAAACATCACTGCTCTAGAGATCTACATGGAGGAATGGGCCAAAATACCAGCAACAGTGTGTGAAAACCTTGTGAAGACTTACAGAAAACGTTTGACCTGTGTCATTGCCAACAAAGGGTATATAACAAAGTATTGAGAAACTTTTGTTATTGACCAAATACTTATTTTCCACCATAATTTGCAAATAAATTCATAAAAAATCCTACAATGTGACTTTCTGGATTTTTTTTTTCTCATTTTGTCTGTCATAGTTGACGTGTACCTATGATGAAAATTACAGGCCTCTCTCATCTTTTTAAGTGGGAGAACTTGCACAATTGGTGGCTGACTAAATACTTTTTTTCCCCACTGTATATATACACTACCAGTCAAAAGTTTGGACACACCTACTCATTCAAGGGTTTTTCTTTATTTTTAATATTTTCTACATTGTAGAATAATAGTGAAGACATAAAAACTATGAAATAACACATATGGAATCATGTAGTAACCAAAAATGTGTTAAACAAATCAAAATATATTTTATATTTGAGATTCTTCAAATAGCCACCCTTTGCCTTGATGACAGCTTTGCACACTATTGGCATTCTCTCAACCAGCTTCATGAGGTAGCCACCTGGAATGCATTTCAATTAACAGGTGTGCCTTCTTAAAAGTTAATTTGTGGAATTTCTTTCCTTCTTAATGCGTTTGAGCCAATCAGTTGCGTTGTGACAAGGTATACAGAAGATAACCCTATTTGGTGAAAGTCCAAGTCCATATTATGGCAAGAACAGCTCAAATAAGCAAAGGGAAACGACAGTCCATCATTACTTTAAGACATGAAGTTCAGTCAATATGGAACATTTCAAGAACTTTGAAAGTTTCTTTAAGTGCAGTCGCAAAAACCATCAAGCGCTATGATGAAACTGGCTCTCATAAGGACCGCCACAGGAATGGAAGACCCAGAGTTACCTCTGCTGCAGAGGATAAGTTCATTAGAGTTACCAGCCTCAGAAATTGCAGCCCAAATAAATGCTTCACAGAGCTCAAGTAACAGACACATCTCAACATCAACTGTTCAGAGGAGACTGTGTGAATCAGGCCTTCATGGTCGAATTGCTGCAAAGAAACCACTACTAAAGGACACCAATAATAAGAAGAGACTTGCTTGGGCCAAGAAACACGAGCAATGGACGTTAGACCGGTGAAAATTTGTCCTTTGGTCTGGAGTCCAAATTGGAGATTTTTGGTTCCAACCACTGTGGCTTTATGAGACGTGGTGTGGGTGAACGGATGATCTCCGCATGTGTATTTCCCACCGTAAAGCATGGAGGAGGAGGTGTTATGGTGTGGAGGTGCTTTGCTGGTGACACTGTCTGTGATTTATTTAGAATTCAAGGCATACTTAACCAGCCTGGCTACCACAGCATTCTGCAGCGATACGCCATCCCATCTGGTTTGGGCTTAGTGGGACTATCATTTGTTTTTCAACAGGACAATGACCCAACACACATCCAGGCTGTGTAAGGGCTATTTTACCAATAAGAAGAGTAATGGAGTGCTGCATCAGAAGACCTGGCCTCCACAATCCCCCGACCTCAACCAAATTGAGATGGTTTGGGACGAGTCGGACCACAGATTGAAGGAAAAGCAGCCAACAAGTGCTCAGCAAATGTGTGAACTCCTTCAACACTGTTGGAAAACCATTCCAGGTGAAGCTGGTTGAGAGAATGCCAAGAGTGTGCAAAGCTGTCATAAAGGCAAAGGGTGGCTATTTGAAGAATCTCAAATATAAAATATATTTTGATTTGTTTAACACTTTTTTTGTTTACTACATGATTCCATATGTGTTATTTCATAGTTTTGATGTCTTCACTATTATTCTACAGTGTAAAAAATAGTAAAAATAAAGAAAAACCCTTGAATGAGTAGGTGTGTCATAACTTTTGACTGGTAGTGTATATATATATACAGTGGGGAGAACAAGTATTTGATACACTGCCGATTCTGCAGGTTTTCCTACTTACAAAGCATGTAGAGGTCTGTAATTGTTATCATAGGTACACTTCAACTGTTAGAGATTTTTAAGTAATTAATTTGCATTGTATTGCATGAAATAAGTATTTGATCACCTACCAACCAGTAAGAATTCCGGCTCTCACAGACCTGTTAGTTTTTCTTTAAGAAGCCCTCCTGTTCTCCACTCATTACCTGTATTAACTGCACCTGTTTGAACTCGTTACCTGTATAAAAGACACACTCAATCAAACAGACTCCAACCTCTCCACAATGGCCAAGACCAGAGAGCTGTGTAAGGACATCAGGGATAAAATTGTAGACCTGCACAAGGCTGGGATGGGCTACAGGACAATAGGCAAGCAGCTTGGTGAGAAGGCAACAACTGTTGGCGCAATTATTAGAAAATGGAAGAAGTTCAAGATGACGGTCAATCACCCTCGGTCTGGGGCTCCATGCAAGATCTCACATCGTGGGGCATCAATGATCATGAGGAAGGTGAGGGATCAGCCCAGAACTACACGGCAGGACCTGGTCAATGACCTGAAGAGAGCTGGGACCACAGTCTCAAAGAAAAGCATTAGTAACACACAATTAAAAACCTGCAGCGCACGCAAGGTCCCCCTGCTCAAGCCAGCGCATGTCCAGGCCCGTCTGAAGTTTGCCAATGACCATCTGGATGATCCAGAGGAGGAATGGGAGAAGGTCATGTGGTCTGATGAGACAAAAATATAGCTTTTTGGTCTAAACTCCACTCGCCGTATTTGGAGGAAGAAGAAGGATGAGTAAAACCCCAAGAACACCATCCCAACCGTGAAGCATGGAGGTGAAAACATCATTCTTTGGGGTTGCTTTTCTGCAAAGGGGACAGGACGACTGCACCATATTGAGGGGAGGATGGATGGGGCCATGTATCGCAAGATCTTGGCCAACAACCTCCTTCCCTCAGTAAGAGCATTGAAGATGGGTCGTGGCTGGGTCTTCCAGCATGACAACGACCCGAAACACACAGCCAGGGCAACTAAGGAGTGGCTCCGTAAGAAGCATCTCAAGGTCCTGGAGTGGCCTAGCCAGTCTCCAGACCTGAACCCAATAGAACATCTTTGGAGGGAGCTGAAAGTCCGTATTGCCCAGCGACAGCCCCGAAACCTGAAGGATCTGGAGAAGGTCTGTATGGAGGAGTGGGCCAAAATCCCTGCTGCAGTGTGTGCAAACCTGGTCAAGACCTACAGGAAACGTATGATCTCTGTAATTGCAAACAAAGGTTTCTGTACCAAATATTAAGTTTTGCTTTTCTGATGTATCAAATACTTATGTCATGCAATAAAATGCAAATTAATTACTTAAAAATCATACAATGTGATTTTCTGGATTTTTGTTTTAGATTCCGTCTCTCACAGTTGAAGTGAGATAAAAATGACATACCTCTACATGCTTTGTAAGTAGGAAAACCTGCAAAATTGGCAGTGTATCAAATACTTGTTCTCCCCACTGTATATATAACCTGACACATAATGGAAAAAACTTTACAGGCAAAAATACTTTACAATTTAAATAAATTTAAAACATTAAAATAAAACGAAAGACACAAATGTACACAATAAAAAATAAATAATAATGATATGTGGGTGTGTGTAGTGTGTGCATCTATCAGGTACACATACATGTCCGTACATACACACAAACATTTGGTCACATGGGGGAGAGGCGTTGTGCCGTGAGGTGTTGCTTTATATGTTTTTTGAAACCCAGTTTGCAGCTGTAGTGCATTTACTGTATAGTACAACATTTCAATATATTATAAGGTTTATGAAGACCAAACTGTCCTAGAGGAAAACCTGGTTCAGTCCCTAATGCTCAAGTAATGTATAGCCTACCATCGGAGAGGTAGATTCTAAATAATCCCTTTGCAAAATAAATAAAACAAATCACCAATCTTATCAACCGTCAAGACCAACCTTGGTCACTTGAGATCCTGGTAGCAGCGGTGTTTACATCTAAGGACTTATTCATATCCTGTATTCCCAATTGGACAAAATGAGCTTCTTATTATTTTAGGATCATGGCAAGGTCTGTCTCACAGTTTCATCAATAGTGCCATCTAGTGTTAAATTTTCTATCAAACTGAGCATGATGAAAAGTGAAGATATGACAGAACAACTGTGCTCATTTCAATTCAAACTACCAAAAAAGGTGTACTGTTTTTGTCATTGTTCTTGAATGATTTTGCTATCCTCCCTCCTCCTCTCCTTTCCTCTCCTCTTCTCTGTCGCCCTCTTCTTCTGCAGAATATGCTGAGTTCCTTCACTGTAAGGGAAAGAAGTTCACAGACTTCGATGAGGTTCGTGGGGAGATCGAGGCGGAGACGGATCGCATCACTGGGCAGAATAAGGGAATCTCACCGGTGCCAATCAACCTCAGGGTCTACTCCCCACATGGTGAGGACACAGACCTGGCATCTTGGCACATGGGCAACTTGGCAGAACTACCATGGAGACACTCATAATACTTTGATTGTAGGAAAGAGTAGTTAACTATATAAAATGGAATGCAAGTATCTTAATTCTATATACACAGAATTTTGTGAATCAAGTTTCCCTATTCCCTATTGGTCAAAACTGGCAACCAAGTTTGATTGTATAGCCAGGGCCCAAAGTTGGTTGTTGTATAGTGAGTCTCAATCAGTTAGTATTAATTATATTATATAGTCTTTTCTTTTCAAGGTTAGTATCATTCATCAGATCTGATATCATATTTACAAATCTCTCTCCATCTCCACCTCTCCACCCTCTCCCCTCTCCCCCCTCTTCGCTCTCCACACTCTCTTCCCTCTCCACACTCTCTCCCCCGCCCCCCTCTCCCCTCTCCCTTTACCCCCCTCTCTCCCCCTCTCCTCTCTCTCCTTCCCTCTACCCTCCCCCTCTATCCACTCTACCTTTCACCTCTCTCCCCTCTACCCTCCCCCTCTCTCCTCTCTCCCTTTCACCCCTCTCTCCTCTCTGTCCTCTCCTCTCTCCCCTCTCTCCTCTCTCCCTTTCACCCCTCTCTCCTCTCTGTCTCCCCCTCTCTCCCCTCTCTCCTCTCTCCCTTTCACCCCTCTCTCCTCTCTGTCCTCCCCTCTCTCCTTCACCCCTCTCTGCCTTTCACCCCTCTCTCCTCTCTGTCCTCCCCTCTCTCCCCTCTCCCCCCTCTCCCCCTCTCCCTTCACCCCTCTCCCCTCTCTTGCCTTTCACACCCCTCTCTCCTCCTGTCCTCTCCTCTCCCTCTCCCCTCTCCCCTCTCTCCCTTTCATCCCTCTCTCCTCTCTGTCCTCCCCTCTCTCCCCTCTCTCCCTTTCATCCCTCTCTCCTCTCTGTCCTCCCCTCTCTCCCCTCTCCCCTCTCTCCCTTCACCACCCTCTCCCCTCTCTCCCTTTCATCCCTCTCTCCTCTCTGTTCTCTCCCCCTCTCCCCTCTCCCTTCTCTCCCTTCACACCCTCTCCCCCTCCCCGCTCTCGCCCTTTCACACCCCTCGTCTCCGCTCGTCTGTCCCTCCCCTCTTCCTCTCCCCTCTCCTTCTTCTCTCCCCTTCACCCCTCTCCCTCTCTCCCTTTCATCCCTCCTCTCTCTCTGTTCTCTCTCCCTTTCACAAACTTCACCCTTTCTCCTCTCTGTCCTCCCCTCTCTCCCCTCTCCCCTCTCTCCCTTCACCCTTCTCGCCCCTTCTCTCCCCCCTCTCTCCCCTAGTCCTGAACCTGACTCTGGTGGACTTGCCAGGGATGACCAAGGTCCCAGTAGGGGACCAGCCTGCGGACATTGAGCAGCAGATCAGAGACATGTTGTATCAGTTTGTGACCAAGGACAACTGTCTGCTTCTGGCTGTCTCCCCAGCCAACTCTGATCTGGCCAACTCGGATGCCCTGAAGATTGCCAAAGAAGTCGACCCACAGGGTGGGTGAGGTTAACAAGAGGTTAACGGCAGGAACTGTAGGCCTTCTGGCTTTCATCTGTGCTCTCAGTATCATTCATCATTAAATTGTGACAGAGCAGTTAGACAAGGATGCAATTGAACCTACCTACTGCTCAGATCTGGACTTTGTTAATGTAGTGTGTGTGTGTGACCAGGTCAGCGAACCATTGGTGTGATCACCAAGCTGGATCTGATGGACGAGGGGACTGATGCCAGAGAAATTCTGGAGAATAAGCTGCTCCCACTGCGAAGAGGTGAGACTACACACACATGCACACACACAGACGCACCCTGTCTCAGTGCTTCCCTCTAGTGGTTATCTGGTTGTGTTGCTCACTGCAGCAGCCGAGAGAGAGGTAGACAGGAGGAGGGTGATGGAAAGAGAGAGAGAGAGAGAGAGAGAGAGAGAGAGAGAGAGAGAGAGAGAGAGAGAGAGAGAGAGGGAGAGAGAGAGAGAGGAGGAGAGTGAAAGAAAGAAAAAGAGAGGGGGAGAGAGAGAAAGGCGGACAAAAACAATGTCTTGATTTCAGTGACACATCTGGAAAAAACGTCTGTTATTTTCGTTGCAATAAAATATATTTGTGGGAAACCCTAATGCAATCCGCTGATGGGCCGTTTTTCCACTGGCGCTTGGTTAGAATCCAGGCATGTGCTTCTGAACGTTTTCCATGTCCTTTGTCTCTACCTTCTCTGCTTCTGTCACTCTCTCGTGTCGGAAGGCCTCACATGTTAAACCACTAGCATATTTACAAGGCTACTGGCGTTCAGTCCAAAAGGTTATAGAGCAAGACATACTGTTTAACAGAGAAATGCATGAGAAAACTTAACTAGATGGGGATATGTGATCCCTCTTACCCATGTGGCTGCCTTTCTTTATTTGTTTTCAATCATAGCAGGAAATGTAGGCATGGAACACAATCGACAGTTGTTACAAATAACCATCCCACAATAGGGATGTGGGTAACTTCATGGTCCCCTAGATTATCCTCCACACCTCCCCGAGAACTCCCCACCTCCTTCAGCCCACTACCCCATTGTGGTAAACCCAGACAGGCAAACAAACAAGAAAAAAAACCTCACCCACACAAAAAAGATAACAAATTACCCTAACAAACTTTCTTTCTTTCTTTCTCTCCACAAAACAACACTGTGTCTCTCTTTGCATCCTGATGTGTCCAGTATCAGCTGACCTCTCTCCCTGTCCCAGGTTACATTGGTGTGGTGAACAGGAGTCAGAAGGACATTGATGGGAAGAAGGACATCACAGCGGCCATGGCTGCAGAGAGGAAGTTCTTCCTGACCCACCCTGGATACAGACACCTGGCTGAACGCATGGGCACTCCCTACCTACAGAAAACACTCAACCAGGTCAGTCCTCCTCTGTGTGTGTGTGGCGGGGAACACTAATACTGTCCTGATCTGTGGTTCAAATCCCTCAATCATCACCAAAGGGCATAGTAGGAATATTATTTTAGCTACATGTATCTTTTCAGTTCATTTTTATAGCCTTCAGAGAAGTCTTCTACCAGATGAGCAATCCACATTATGTATTTTGATGCTTTCGACAAGTTTATAATACCCAACGGAGATAAGGGAGTAGAAAGGTAGTAAGCTATTATGCTTGATCACTGTAATCTCTTCCGTTGCATGTCATAACCCACACTGATGACCTTGCACTCCGCAGCAACTGACCAATCACATCCGGGACACTCTGCCGGGGCTGCGGGCCAAGCTGCAGAGCCAGCTGCTGTCTATAGAGAAGGAGGTGGAGGAGTACAAGAACTTCAGACCTGACGACCCCTCCCGCAAGACCAAGGCCCTGCTGCAGTAAGTAGGACACACACGTACGCACGATGGCACACACACACAGTCACACAATCACACAGTCACACAGTCACACACACACACACACACACACACACACACACACACACACACACACACACACACACACACACACACACACACACACACACACACACACACACACACACATACACACACACACACACACACACACACACACACACACACACACACACACACACACACACACATACACACACACACACATACACACACACACACACACACACACACACACACACACACACACACACACACACACACACACTAACTCCCTATCCCTGTGTCCTTTACTCTCCAGGATGGTGCAGCAGTTTTCAGTAGACTTTGAGAAGCGTATCGAGGGCTCTGGGGACCAGATCGACACAGCAGAGCTGTCAGGAGGAGCCAAGATCAACCGCATCTTCCACGAACGCTTCCCCTTTGAGCTGGTCAAGGTGTGTGTACTGTACTGTATGTGTGCGTGTGTCTCTTACCAGGTGCGCCTCTCTTCTAACTCTTGAGACAGACAGGGCTGTGGATCGACCACAACCCAGAGACTTTATGAGGAAAACATCCCTCCTTCACTCATTCACTCACTCACTCCCTCACTCCACAGTAAAACATTATGTTTGGCTTTGGCCAAAGGATGTGGGCCTGCTGGGGCCAGACTACAGTCTCAGTCATTAAACATTGCACAGTCAGACCGTCTGTCATCATACGCTCATGGTATAGCTGTGTCATATCAAATGATTTACAGAGGTTTCAGACTGAATGGAATAACTAAGCAGTGTTAGCACTTAGTCTGAAGGTTTTTTGTTGCTGTAAATGTGCTCCTTTGATAAATTTCCTGTTTGATGTTCAGAGCCACTCAATGGATACAAGGGACCTTAGATCCCTATCTCTGTGGTTTCTACTGTGTGTCGGAGGTGTGTGTGTGCTCACTATTTAACGTGTGTGTCCTTTCTGTGTCCGTACAGATGGAGTTTAACGAAAAGGAGCTTCGCAAGGAGATCAGCTACGCCATTAAGAACATCCACGGCATCAGGCACGTCCTTCCTCCTCATCCCCCTCTCCCTCCCCTTGTCCTCGCCCACCTGGGTCACCGCTGTAGACCAGACAAACTCTAATCGTCTTCACCCATCTAATCACAAAGACCTCTAGACACACCGACCGCAGACACGCACCCAGCATGCTGTGGCATACTGATGACATCAGAAACAGAAGTGGAGGGATTTGTGATTAGATCTGTGATGGTTGGATGGTATCTTTCTCTCCCTCCTTGCCCCGTCCACCTGTCTGTATCTTGTAGGTATGACTGTCTGTCTGTTGAAACCCTAGCCTGATATGCCAGTCATGTATGACCTAGCTCACTTTGTCCCCGTCCTATGACAACGTCCTGTCTTTTACCTAGGTCCTACAGCGATATATATCAGAATCCGACAGTGATGTCATCACTATTCAGGAAGTGAACCTGTTGAATGTCACATCTGTGTTACTTCCTCCCACTCAACCTCCCACAGTGAAGCTAGAAGGAAGGCTTCAAGAATAGGGGACGGTTTGAGCTATGTAGCAGAACACATGATCCTCGTGACCTACTACCAAAAAATCTAACTAACTTTAACTATTAACAATTACTATTGCTCTAGTGTATACAGTTTCCCTCAGAAAAGCTACAAAATCATAATTTGCTTGAGCTTGGAACACTATTGCTATTTGACTGCATTTCCTTGTCACATTTCCTTTGTGAAAGAAGTAGTTAAAAGCAAAATGGCTGCAAACCTGTGCTGACAATGAGGGTGAGCTCTACCCGGTCAGTGGTTCTGAATGAGGGGGAATGGTGAAAGGAAACCATTCAAGAGAATTGAGACACATTCATTATGTTGTAGTAGTGTAGGGATTCCAATATTCATGGCATCGTCTGGATGACTCATATACTGTATAGCAGGGTTCCCCAACTGGCGACCCACGGGCTGAATTTTCTCGGGTGATTTTATTCCACCCCCCCCAAAGTTTACTGAACAAAAAAAAGAAAAGTTATAATTATTAAAAAGACATTAAAGACTGTAGAAGCACCAGCAAATCAGCTCCACGTGATTTTAATTTTGGAAATCTGTTCTAAAGTATTCCCACGCATAAAAGAGAGTTATACTGTATGTGATCGTATACAAATGTAAGCGAGGTTTGGGCTTCTTGTGGTCAATTTGCAGTCTACAAATTATTTGTCATTCTGTTCCGGCCCCCTGACCATCCGTTTTAAGACAAAATGAATCCCACGGCTGGTTTTTAACACTGGTTTTTAACACTGGTTTTTAACACTGGTTTTTAGCTCTCTGTTGTAGTTATTTGTCTTTATCTTGCTATACTTCATGTGGGAGGGGTTCGGGAGGGGGAATTTATTTTCAACTAACACTATTCTCTCTGCCCGACCTCCCTTCCTCCCTCCTCCTCCTCCTTTCTCTTTTCCCCTCTTTTTTTGAACCTGTCGCTCGTTTTCTCCCTACCGGGCAGAACTGGCCTCTTCACCCCGGACATGGCCTTTGAGACCATAGTGAAAAGGCAGATCGGCAAGATCAAAGAGCCCTGCCAGAAATGTGTGGACATGGTCATTTCTGAGCTAGTCAATACCGTTAGGCAGTGTACTCAGAAGGTAAACGCACATGGTGGAGAGCGACACTATGGTTTCACCCCTCCCTCCCACCAAAACCTTCTGCAATGTCATCCCTGTTACCGTATCGCCGCACCGCCTCGTTCTCCAGACCCTGTTTTCCCAGGTTGGGATAGTAGGGGGTGTACTGGGGTAGTTGGGGTATTGTGAGGGACTACCTGCCTACCACTTTGGATGGGGTGGCTGGGCAGAGTGGCTGTCGCATGGCCATGTTAGAGAACTGTGCTGGGTATAGAAGGGGTCTGGATGCTGCCGAGTTGCTGCTATGTGGCTGCATATCAAGGGTTGCAACTTTAGACACAGGAGTAAGGATGAATATGATCAAATTAACATTAATAATCAAATTAATGGTCAAATTAACACATCTCAAGATGTTTACATTCTGTTAAGTCACAGGTGACTGAGTTCATTTTAGCAGTGGCGACATCATTTTTGATGCCCTGAGTGTCACATCAAAGTGTCACTCAGTTGTTGTCCCTGTCAGCCATGTTGGGTGACCTCAGCATCCAGACTTCCTGCTTGTGAGACCGTGGGCTGTGCACCTGCAGCAGATGGGAGCCATGACAACGTGAAGGTCTGGATGCTTACCAAGGGCCAAGTTCAGCTTTAGAGGGCCCTTTATGGCCACACTCAGCCAAAGGGGCCCCAGTGGTCTTAATACCAGTGGTCTTAATTCCACTGTGACCAGGCCCTGTTTTGGAACGCGGCCTGACCACAGTGGCTCTGCGACAGTGGAATAACAAACGCTGTGGCCCTGCTCTGTGTGGTCAGCTGGGGGATAGATGGAGATAGGGGGAAAGGGAGAAGAGGGCGAAGATTTGGGGTCAGGTAGAGAGGATGAGCATGGTGCGTCGTCTGGGGTGTTGGGTGCACAGCTGCGGTCTGGCATGGCTCATAACTCAGAGCTGTTTGCCAGTGGAGTGGTGCAGGCTGTATTCTCTCTCTCCTCCTTTCTATCTCTCTCTCTCTGGATGGATGGAGAGATAGACCTCAGCGCTGGCCTCTTTAGAATGGCTTCAAGGGAAACCAAATGTCTCACTTGCCTTTTATTCCCTGTTTACTGTTTACCCACCTTCCCCCGACCTGTCACTATCCCCTCTTTTTCATCTGTCTCTCAACCTGTCATCCCTCTTTTTCATCTGTCTCTCAACCTGTCATCCCTCTTTTTCATCTGTCTCTCAACCTGTCATCCCTCTTGTTTTCCTCCTTATCCGTTCTCTCCTTCTCTGTGTGGCCCTCTTGTGTTATTCTTTCGTCACTCTCTCTCTCTCTTTGCTTTGACCTGCTCTCTATCCCTGTGGATTTTGTTTCTCTTTCTCTCTCTCTCTCTCTCTCTCTCTCTCTCTCTCTCTCTCTCTCTCTCTCTCTTGTCCCGTCACCGCCTCCTCTCTACAGGACGGGCCTGTTCACTCCTGACCTGGCCTTTGAAGCCATAGTGAAAAAGCAGATCCAAAAGCTGAAGGAACCCTCACTGAAGTGTATAGATATGGTAGTGAGCGAACTCACCTCCACCATACGAAAGTGTAGTGACAAGGTAACCAAGGAACCAAGCCACGTTCGGAGTGAGACTTGCGTCTTTCTTAGAGGTAGGGATAGACCGATGGCTGGACTACAAACAGGAAACAAATGAGCCAATTACAATCATTGATCTATCTTAGATGAGCATAGTGGTTATGGTTGTAGCTATATGCTTTCTGTTTGGTCAATAAGAGGCAACTTAACTAAAATAACTATTTGATAAATTCTTCATGATAACCAGTTGATAGTTCTTTGAAGTTATGAGAATATATGCTGTATATATGTTGTACTGCTTATAAGGACAGATGCAACGTGATACAAAAATGCGTATAGCCATGGCCTATCTGTGTCTGATTGTATTGATTTAGTTTGACATATACGTTCCCGTTTTAGAATGCACAGTAAGCCACACAGCTAGGAAATCCTTTCATAGTTTGTCTTTGTCAGTCTGTCTCTTCGTTCATACTCCTTATTCCACAGTTCTCTTCTCTGTGCATTTTGATCACCCTCGCCTCCTGTCCACGGTTTTTGTATTGTACCGTGTGAGGTGTTGTGGTGTGATATTAGTGTTTGAAGTTTATCTGCAAATTTGCCTGCCCCTCTTACATATTTGTTTCCAAATGCCAAAGAAAAAGACAAGATGTTGGCTCCGAGCCAGCTCCATTGGAGATGTAAATATTTTTTGTCTTGAAACATGCCATTCCATTTATGCAATGATGGTATCCTAAAAATGATGAATACTGTGTCTGACTTTACATTTTAGTCATTTAGCAGACACTCTTATCCAGAGCGACTTACAGTTAGTGAGTGCATACATTTTTTATACTGGCCCCCCCGTGGGAATTGAACCCACAACCCTGGCGTTGCAAGCGCCATGCTCTACCAACTGAGCTACAGGAGGCCTTTAAAGCAGAATCAACTCACCCATCAGTGACAATATACAATGACATTCATTTACTGTGTAGTGACTTTGTTAGCTTGGCAAATGCAAAAGAAAGATGGTGGTCACTTGCGGTCAAAAGAGGAGTCCTTTCAACAAATGAAAGGATTCAAACATGTATTGTCATGGTAAGCTAGATACAGTGCCTTCAGAAAGTATTCACACCCCTTTACTTTTTCTACTTTTTGTTGTGTTACAGCCTGAATTTAAAATGGATTCAATTGAGATTGTGTGTCACTGATCTACACGTAATACCCCATAATGTCAAAGTGGAATTATGTTTTTAGAATTGTTTACAAATTACTTAAAAATGAAAAGCTGAATTGTCTTGAGTAAATAAGTATTCAACCCTTTTGTTATGGCAAGCCTAAATAAGTTCAGGAGTAGAAATGTGCTTAACAATTCACATAAAAAGTTGCATGGACTCACTCTGTGTGCAACAATTACTCCATCTCTGTACCCCACACATACAATTATCTGTAAGGTCCTTCAGTCGAGCAGTGAATTTCAAGCACAGATTCAACCACAAAGACCAGGGAGGTTTTCCAATGCCTCACAAAGAAGGGCATCTATTGGTAGATGGGTAAAAATAAAAACATAAGCCTGTATATAATACACATATTCCAAAACATGCATCCTGTTTGCAATAAGGTACTTAAGTAATACAAAAATGAACTTTTTGTCCTGAATACAAAGCATTATGTTTGGGGCAAATCCAACACAACACATCACTGAGTGCCACTCTTCATATTTTCAAGCATGGTGGTGGCTGCATCATGTTATGGGTATGCTTGTCATCGGCAAGGACAAGGGAGTTTTTTGGGGGGGCTAAAAATAAACAGAGCAGAGCTAAGTACAGGCAAAATCCTTGAGGAAAACTTGGTTCAGTCTGCTTTCCAACAGACACTGGGAGACAAATGAACCTTTCAGCATGACAATTACCTAAAAAACAAAGCCAAATATACACTGGAGTTGCTTACCAAGACGACATTGAATGTTCTTGA